TAAGGCTCTCAGCTGACTTCTCACAAGAAACATTACAGGCTCGAAGGGAATGGCATGAAGTAATCAAGGTCATGAAAAACAAGGATCTGAATCCAAGACTACTCTACCCAGCAAGGCTATCGTTCAAAATAGAAGGTCAAATAAAGAGCTTCCCAGACAAAATAAGGCTAAGGGAGTACATTAGCACCAAACCAGCACTGCAAGAAATGTTAAAAGGACTGCTGTAATTACCAGGAGAAATGGGGAGAAAAATAGAACCACACTAAACAAAAATGGCAATAAATAAGTACATATCAATAACCACCTTAAATGTAAATGGACTGAATGCTCCAATAAAAAGACACAGAGTAGCTGATTGGATAAGAAAGCAAGACTCATCTATATGCTGTTTACAAGAAACCCACCTCACAACAAAAGACTCACACAGATTGAAAGTGAAGGGATGGAAAAAAATCTTTCAAGCAAATGGAAAAGAAAAAAAAGCTGGGGTAGCAATACTGATATCTGATAAAATAGACTTCAGATTGAAGGCCATAACTAGAGACAAAGAAGCCCACTACATAATATTGAAAGGATCTATCCAACAGGAAGATATAACATTGATAAACATATATGCACCCAATATAGGAGCACCAAAATATATTAAAAATCTTCTGGAGGACTTCAAAGGAGAAATCGATAGCAATACAATCATAACAGGGGACTTCAACACCCCGCTCACATCACTGGATAGATCCTCTAGACAAAAAATTAGCAAGGAAACAGAGACTCTAAATGAAGCACTAGACCAAATGGATTTAATAGATATCTACAGAGAACTACACCCCAAAACTACAGAATTCACATTCTTCTCAAGTGCACATGGAACATTCTCAAAGATAGACCACATGTTAGGGCACAAACTAAGTCTCTACAAGTTCAAGAAGATTGAAATTATAACAAGCATCTTCTCAGACCACAATGGTATGAAACTAGAAATCAATTGCAAGAAGAACATACAAAGACATTTTAAAACATGGAAGCTAAATAGAATGTTATTAAACAATGAATGGGTCACCGAGGAAATCAAGGAAGAAATCAAAAACTTCCTGGAAACCAATGAAAATGAGGACACAACAATACAAAATCTATGGGATGCAGCAAAAGCAGTTCTGAGAGGGAAGTTTATAGCACTACAGGCCTACCTCAAAAAAGAAGAAAAATCTCTAATAGACTACCTAACCTCACAACTTAAAGAACTAGAGAGTAAACAAAAAGAAAACCCCAGAGCAAGCAGAAGAAAAGAAATAGTAAGGATCAGAGCAGAAATAAACGACATAGAGACCAAAAAAACAATCCAGAGGATCAATAAAACAAAGAGCTGGTTTTTTGAAAAGATAAACAAGATTGATGGACCCTTAGCTAGACTCACCAAGAAACAAAGAGAGAGAACCCAAATACATAAAATCAGAAATGAAACAGGAGAGATAACAACTGACCCTACAGAAATACAAAAGATCGTTAACAACTACTATGAAAAATTATACGGCAACAAATTCGAAAATCTAAGCGAAATGGACAAATTTTTAGAAACACATAGCCTCCCAAAATTGGATCAGATAGAGATTGAAAACTTGAACAGACCAATAACAACAGAGGAAATTGAAGATGTAATCAAGACTCTTCCAGCAAACAAAAGCCCAGGCCCAGATGGCTTCACAGGGGAGTTTTACCGAACATTCAAAGAAGAACTAATACCCATTCTCCTCAAACTATTTCAAAAAATTCAAGAAGAAGGAAGACTGCCAAACTCGTTTTATGAAGCCAGCATAACTTTAATTCCAAAACCAGAAAAAGACACAACAAAGAAAGAAAACTACAGGCCAATATCCCTGATGAACATAGATGCCAAAATCCTGAACAAAATACTAGCAAATCGAATCCAGCAATACACCAGAAAAATTATCCACCATGACCAGGTGGGATTCATCCCAGGGATGCAAGGCTGGTACAATATTCGCAAATCCATAAATGTGATACACCACATAAACAAATTGAAGAATAAAAACCACATGATCATATCAATAGATGCTGAAAAAGCCTTTGACAAAATCCAGCATCCATTTCTGATAAAAACGCTCACCAGTGTGGGAATTGAGGGATCATACCTAGACATAATAAAGGCCATATATGAAAGACCTACAGCCAACATCATACTCAATGGGCAAAAACTAAAAGCATTTCCCTTAAGAACAGGAACAAGGCAAGGATGCCCACTTTCGCCACTCCTATTTAACATAGTACTGGAAGTCTTAGCCACAGCAATCAGACAGGAAGAAAAAATAAAAGGGATCCAAATTGGAAAGGAGGAAGTGAAAGTGTCATTATTTGCAGATGACATGATACTGTACATAGAAAATCCCAAAGACTCCACCAAAAGCTTACTAGACTTAATAAATGAATTTGGCAAAGTAGCAGGATACAAAATTAACGTCAAGAAATCGATGGCATTCTTATACACCAATGATGAACTCACAGAAAGAGAAACTAGGCAAACAATCCCATTTACCATTGCGGCAAAAAAATTAAGATACCTAGGAATAAACTTAACCAAAGAGATAAAGGACCTATTCGCAGAAAACTACAGATCTTTGAAAAATGAAATAGAGCAAGATGTAAAAAAGTGGAAGAACATACCCTGTTCATGGATTGGGAGAATTAACATCATTAAAATGTCCATATTACCCAAAGCAATCTATAGATTCAACGCAATCCCCATCAAAATACCAACGGCATACTTCAAAGAATTAGAACAATTACTTCAAAAGTTCATATGGAACCAAAAAAGGCCTCGAATAGCCACAGCAATCTTGAAAAGGAAGAACAAAGTTGGAGGGATCACAATACCAGATTTCAGGTTATACTACAAAGCCACCATAATCAAAACAGCCTGGTACTGGCACAAGAACAGGTATATAGACCAGTGGAACAGAATAGAGAACCCAGAAATGGACCCTAGGCAATATGCTCAATTAATATTTGACAAAGGTGGCAAGAGCATACAGTGGAGTAAGGACAGCCTCTTTAATAAATGGTGCTGGGAAAATTGGACAGCTACTTGCCGAAAAATGAAACTAGACCATCAACTTACACCCTACACCAAAATAAACTCAAAATGGATAAAAGACTTAAATGTAACCCATGAATCCATAAAAATCCTAGAGGAGACTGTGGGCAACAAAATCTCAGACATCATACGCAGCAGAATTTTTACTGACACATCACCTAAGGCAATAGAAACAAAGGAGAAAATGAACACATGGGACTACATCAAACTCAAAAGCTTCTGCACAGCGAAAGATACAATCATCAAAACGGAAAGGCTACCCACTGTATGGGAGAGCATAATTGCCAATGATATATCAGATAAGGGGTTAATTTCCAATACATATAGAGTGCTCACACAACTCCACAAAAGGAAGACAAAGAATCCAATTAAAAAATGGGCAGAGGAACTAAATAGACACCTCTCCAAACAGGACATACAAATGGCTAAGAGACATATGAAGAAATGTTCATCATCACTAATCATCAGAGAGATGCAAATCAAAACAACAATGAGGTATCACCTCACACCGGTCAGAATGGCCGCCATCAACAAATCATCAAACAACAAGTGTTGGCGAGGGTGTGGAGAAAAGGGGACTCTAGTACACTGTTGGTGGGAATGCAGACTGGTGCAGCCACTATGGAAAACAATATGGTGTCACCTCAAAAAATTAAAAATTGAACTCCCATTTGACCCAGTGATCCCACTTCTAGGAATATACCCTAAGAAGCCTGAAACACCAATCAGAAAGAATATATGTACCCCCATCTTTGTAGCAGCACTATTTACAATCGCTAAGATCTGGAAACAGCCCAAGTGCCCATCAGTAGACGAATGGATTAAAAAGCTGTGGTACATATACACAATGGAGTACTACGCAGCGGTAAGAAAGAAAGATCTCTTGTCCTTTGAGACTACATGGAGGGACCTGGAAAGTATCATCCTGAGTGAAACAAGCCAAGCAGAGAAAGACAAATTTCATATGATCTCACTGATTTCTGGAATATAATGAACATAACAGTTTGAGGACAATCCCCTAAGGAGTGGGGAGCTGAGAGAGGGATGAACAACAGAATTTATATGCATATAGGCATGAACAGTGGACATGGACAACAATCGGGGGAAGGGGCGGGGAGGGAAGTGGGAGGGGGGAACCACTGGGGGAAAAAAGGAGAATCATTTGTAACAAAAATTATTCAATAAAAAAAAAAAAATAAATAAATAAAAAAAAAAAAAAAAAAAAAAAAAAAATACTTTAAAGCCCAAATCCCAGGCCCAGGATCGAAAACTATTGACAATCTTTTTTTTTTTTTTTTTTTAAACAGCTCTATGGAGGTGTAAATGATTGCACATTAAAGTGTACATTTATTTATTTATTTATTCTTACTTGAGGACATTTTTTGCATTTATCTTCAGATACAGCAGGAGGGAGAGAGGGAGGAAGAGAGAGAGAAACATCGACGTGAGAGAGATATATCTATTGGTTGCCACCCACAGGACCCCAACCAGGGCGTGGACAAACTGCAGCGAAGGTACGTGCCCTTAACAGGAACTGAACCTGGGTCTCTCTGGTCCACGGGCTGACACTCTAATTGCTGAGCCAAAACAGCCAGGGGCTAAAGTGTACAATTTGATGAGTTTTGTTGGTGTATACACCTATAAAACCACCACCATAATCAAGGTAGTGAACATTTCCATGACCTCTAGGTTTCCCTAAATTTTCTCATGCTTTTCATTCCTCCACCCTCCCCTCCCTGTCTCTATAGATTAGTTTGCATTTTCTAGTATTTTATATACATGAACTCATGTAGTATATTTATTTATTTTTCTAATGGCTTAATCTAGACCCCAGCTGGCAACCAGCAGGTCCCTATCCCCACCCCACGTGTATCAGGCCTTATTGTCTCCTTACCCATAGCACTGTTTTGAATTCTCTGCATTTCTTGACCTGGGGCTTTCAAGGCAGTTTCTAGAACATTCGATTCCACACTCTGGAGAATAGATGTGACCTTGGATGCTACTTTTCTCTTCTCTTCCATTCCCCACAGAGTCTTGTTGGTGAGAAGTGACTCAACATCCTCAACAATCTGTTGTAGCTTTAAAGATATAAATAAAGATAATGATTAATAATAATAATAACAATAATCTTCTCTGATAGGCCCCCACCATTCACTGGCTTTGCAACCTTGGGAAGGTTACTCAATCACTCTGTGCCTCAGTTTCCCCACCTTAGGATGGAGACAATAATAAAACCCTATAGAGTTTTTGGCAAGATTAAATGAGTTAAGAGATGATATGTGTCTGTGCCTGGTCAATACAGGACAAGGGTTAATTATTATAAACCTCTTTTACTAACATGGATGTGGTAAGTTTGCTAGAAATAGACTAGTGGTTTTCAACCTGGGCAACCCCCTGGACATTTGGTAAAGTCTGAATACATTTATGATATTCACCACGGAGGGGTGCTCCTGGTATCTGATGGGTGGAGGCCAGAGATGTTGCTCCACATCCTCTAATGCACGGGACAACCCCCACAGCAAAGAATGATCCAGTCTCGAATACTATAATATTATAATATTAAACAAAGAGAAACTCGGAGGTAGACATAGCTCAGATAGCACGCTAATTGGTTTTATTATTATTATTTTTTAAAAAAAACATGTTTTTATTGATTTTTTAGAGAGAGAGAGAAACATTGATTGGCTGCCTCCTGCACACCCCCTACTGGGGCTCAGGCCCAAAACCCAGGCATGTGCCTTAACTGGGAATCAAACTGTGACCTCTCAGTCTATGGAACAATGCTTAATCCACTGAGCCACACTGGCTGGGCTTTAATTTTATTTATTTATTTTATTTTGTTATTATTTTTATTTATCTATTAAACATTTCTATTAATTTTTAATGAATGAATGAATGTTACAGATGTTTCTCCTTTTTTCCCCATTGACACCCTCCTTCCCCTCCCTCTCCACCCTGTCCCCAGCTTTGTTGTCCATGTTCATTGGTTATGCATACATGCATATAAGTTCTGTGGTTTATCTCCCCCCAACCTCTCTTCTGGGGATTGTCAGTCTGTACCCCACTTCCATGTCTCTGGGACTACCCTGTTCTTCAGACTGTTATGTTCACTATATTCCACAAATAATTGAGATCATATGATACTTGTCTTTTCTGCTTGGCTTGTTTTGCTTAGGATAATAATTTCCAGGTCCTTTCATGTCTTCTCAAAAAATAAGAGCTCTTTCTTTCTTACAGCTGCATAGTATTCCATTGTGTACATGTACCACAGCTTTTTTTTTTTTTTCTTTTCCCCACATCTTTATTGATGGATGTAAAATGTATTACAGATGTTCCACATTTTTCCCCCATTGACCCCCTCCTCCCCACTCCCGCCCCCCTCCCACCTTTTCCCAAACTATTGTCCGTGTCCATTAGTTATGCATATAAGTTCTTTGGTTTATTTCCTCCCACCCCCCCAACCCCTTTCCCTTTGAGGTTTGTCAGTCTAGCAATGAATTTGTGCTTCTTAATCCCTTCACCTTTTTCATCCATTCCCCCAACCCCTTTCCCAACTGGCAACCAACAAAACGTTCTCTGTATCTATGAGAATGTTCCTGTTCTTCCTGTTCATTTTGTTTGTAAATTCCATTGTTGATAGATATGTATTCATTGCCATTTTGTTTGTTCATACATTTTATCTTTTTCTTTAAAAAGACCCTTCATCATTTCATATAATAACGGTTTGGTAGTGATGAACTCCTTTAACGTTTTCTTGTCTGGGAAAGTTTTTATATGGCCATCGATTCTAAATGACAGCTTTGCAGGATAGAGTAATTTTGGTTGTAGGTTCTTGGTTTTCATCACTCTGAATATTTCTTGCCACTCCCTTCTGGCCTGCAAAGTTTTCTTTGAGAAATCAGCTGACAGCCTAATGGGAACTCCCTTGTAGGTAACTAGCTGCCTTTCTCTTGCTGCTTTTAGGATTCTCTCTTTGTCTTGAACCTTTTGCATTTTGATGATGATGTGTCTTGGTGTGGGCCTCTTGGGGTTCATCTTGTTTGGGACTCTCTGTGCTTCCTGGACTTGTATGTCTGTTTCCTTCACCAAGTTAGGAAAGTTTTCTGCCATTATTGTTTCAAACAGGTTTTCGATTTCTTGTTCTCTCTCTTCTCCTTCCGGCACCCCCAAGATGTGAATGTTGGCACGCTTGAAGTTGTCCCAGAGGCTCCTTACACTATCCTCATTTTTTTGGATTCTTTTTTCTTTTTGCTGTTCTGGTTGGGCGTTTTTTGCTTCCTTATATTCCAAATCGATGGTTTGCTCCTTGGATTTACGTACTCCATTATTGAAGCTATGTAAATTATTCTTTATTTCAGTTAAAGCCTCCTTTGTTTCTAACTGTGCAGCGATCGTTTCTGACTGGTACTTTTTTATGCTCTTGAGGCCCTCACTGAGTTCATTGAGCATCCTTATAAGCAGTATTTTGAACTCAGCATCTGTTAGGTTGCTTATCTCCATTTCGCTTAGTTCTTTTCTTGGGGTTTTGTTCTGTTCTTTCATTTGGGACCTGTTTCTTTGTATCCTCATTTTGGCTGCCTCCCTGTGTTTGTTTCTGTGTATTACTTAATGAGAGGTATGGGGCTCGCTGAGACCCGATGCTGCTCGTTTGAAAGAATTTAGGAAAAACCTGAAGCAGTATCCAAGACAGGCCAATCCTATGGTTAAGCAAGTAGCAACAGCTTGGGGGGGCGGGGTGGGGCGGGGCCTCAGGGAGTCAGCAGGGCGGGGCTACCAGTGTGAGCCAGGTTGCTGGAGTCCCAGATATGGCGACTGTCTGCCGCCCCAGGGAAGGGCTCACCAAAGGAACAAAGGCCTCTTACAGCACGTTTGTCCCCGAGGAAGCCCCCTCTCCAGCGCTCGCTCCAGTGCCAAACAGCTCAGTTCTTCCCTGTGTGTCTCTGGCGCCCCTCGAGCTGCCTCCCCTCCGAGCTTTAGAGGGAGAGAGTCCGATAAGTCCGTGAGCGGGCCCTTTAAGGAGCTGCCTGTGGCTTCAGCCAGGTCAGCTTCCCTGAGCCTCAGTTTCTGCTGGTTTTTCCAGCCAGAAGTTATGGGGACTTCTCTTCCTGGCACTGGAAACCTGAGCGGGGCACCTGGTGTGGGTCGGGGACCCCTCAGTCCTCAGGAAGGACCTTCCCAGCCGCGGGAGCCTCCTGATTTTTATCCGCCACACTTGGGTGTGGGACGTTGCGCCGCCGGGCCGCTGCCGCCACCCCTCGCGCCGCCGCCCCTCCTACCGGTCTGGATGTAGCTGCTTTTTTTTTTTAAATTCCGTAGTTGTAGGACTTCCATTCAGCTTGATTTCAGGCGGTTTTGGATGATGGTTGTTCTGTAGTTTTGTTGTAACTTGGATGTGGTTGTGGGAGAACGCGATACTGCGTTTCCCTACGCCGCCATCTTGACCGGAAGTCTCTGTACCACAGCTTTTTTATCCATTTGTCTACTGATAAATATTTGGGTAGTTTCCAGATCTTAGCTATGTAAATAGTGCTGCTATGAAAATGGAGGTACATATATTCTTTCTGATTAGTGTTTCAGGCTTCTTAGGTTATATTTCTAGAAGTGGGATCACTGGGTCAAATGGCACTTCAATTTTTAATTTTTTGAGGTAACACCATAGTGTATTCCACAGTGGCTGTACCAGCTTGCATTCCCACCAGCAGTGTACTAGGGTCCCCTTTTCTCCACAACCTCGCCAACACTTGTTGTTTGATAATTTGTTGATGGCAGCCATTCTGACAGGTGTGAGGTGATACCTCATAATTGTTTTATTTTGCATCTCTCTGATGAATAGTGATGTTGAGCATTTCTTCATATGTCTCTTAGCCATTTGTATGTCCTGTTTGAAGAGGTGTCTATTTAGGTCCTCTGCCCATTTTTAATTGGGTTCTTTGTCTTCCTTTTGTTGAATTGTATGAGCACTCTATATATTTTGGGGATTAACCCCTTATCTGATGCATCATTGGCCATATGGTGGGATTCCTTTCCATTTCGATGGTTGTTTCTTTTGCTGTGAAGAAACTTTTAAGTTTGATATAGTCCCATGTGTTCATTTTTTCTTTTGTTTCTGTTGCCTTTGGTGACGTATCAGTGAAAATTTTGCTGCGTATGATGTCTGAGATTTTGTTGCCTACATTTTCTTCTCGGATTTTTATGGGTTTATGAGTCACATTTAAGTCTTTTATCCATTTTGAGTTTATTCTTGTGTAGGGTGTAAGTTGATGGTCTAGTTTCATGTTTTTGCATGTAGCTGTCCAATTTTCCCAACACCATTTATTAAAGAGGCTGTCTTTACTCCACTGTGTGCTCTTGCCACCTTTGTCAAATATTAATTGAGCATATTGCCTTGGGTCCATTTCTGGGTTCTCTGTTCTGTTCCACTTGTCTATATGCCTGTTCTTGTGCCAGTACCAGGCTGTTTTGATTACAGTGGCTTTGTAGTATAACCTGAAATCTGGTAATGTGATCCCTCCAACTTTGTTCTTCCTTTTCAAGATTGCTGTGGCTATTTGGGGTCTTTTTTTGGTTCCATATGAACTTTTGAAGTATTTATTCTAGTTCTGTGAAGTATGTCATTGGTATTTTGGTTTTAGAGAGAGAGGACAAGAGAGGTAGAGAGAGATGGAAACACTGATGAGAGAGAACATTGTTTGGTCACCTCCTGCATTACCCCCACCGGGGGTTTGGCCCACATCTTGGGCATGTGCTCTGACCAGGAATTGAACCGGTGACCTCTTGGTACATGGGTCGATGCTCAACCACTAAACCATACCAGCCGGGTTAATTTTAATTTTTTAAAATTAAGTTTATTTGGGTGATATTAATTAATGAAACTGTTTCAAGTGTACAATTCTATGATACATCATCTGTATATTGCATTGTGTGCTTATTACCCAAAGTCAAATCTCCTTCCATCACCATATACTCAACCCCCTCTACCCTTGGCTACCCTCTCACCTCCTTATTGGCCTTTTAAAATAAAGATATTTGTCTGTAAAGGATAGCAAATAGATGGCTGGAGAAGAATGGGGCTAAGGAG